TTCTCTATCTGCGAGTGCATCGATGTGTTAGAGATGCTTTGTTCTTGGTGGAGGAGATTGTCTCTCTTTTAATGCTCTCTGTCAAAGATATTGCAGTTACTGGGGTACCAAAGGAGAAGGCTGAAAAACTAAAGAAGTCCAAGCATGGAATGAGATGTGAACAGGTTTCTTTTGCTTCTGCAATGGCACGCGTTAAACTTGCAGCTTCCCTTGGAGCTTCATTAGTTTGGATATCCGGTGGATCAGGTTTGGTCCAATCTTTGTATAAAGAAACCTTGCCGTCTTGGTTTTTATCAGTCCATTCAGTAGACCGTGAAGGTGTAGAATATGGAGGTATGGTTCCTGTGCTTAGGGGCTATGCACTTGCATTCTTTTCAGTACTTTGTGGAATGTTCTCGTGGGGCATAGACTCGACATCATCAGCATCGAAGAGGCGTGCAAAGATTCTCGACTCCCACCTCGAATTTCTTGCGAGCGCATTGGATGGAAAATTCTCCATTGGGTGTGATTGGGCTACATGGCGGGCTTATGTTTCTGGGTTCGTGAGCTTGCTTGTGCGTTGTGCACCGAAGTGGTTGCTCGAGGTGGATTTGAAGGTGTTGAAGAGGTTGGGCAAAGGATTAAGGCAGTTGAACGAGGAGGAATTGGCTCTTGCATTGCTGGAAAGTGGTGGGTTGACTGCAATGGGTGCAGCAGCGGAACTTATTATTGAAGGAGGATTTTAAATGTTGCAGATTTAACATGAAGAGTGAACCATTTTTGTTTAGAAAAATTGGAACCATTAACTGACGTAGGGTTCCCTTAGCATCATATCCCCAGTAATGCTACGTTCATGTATACAAATGTTTCTTACTGCTGCTCTGCATAGGCATATTAGCCGCCGTTTTTTTTTTGGCTAAAAATCTAAAGTAATGATATTCAAAATTTTAGCATGTAATTCATGTACCATTAAATTTGTAAAAAATATGTAACAATTTAGTCTACATCCTATTAAACTAAATTTAGTTTATATCCTATTAAATTTGTACATTTTGGTTTTTAAATTTAATGAACAAATCATGTTTTAAACATTTTGAAAGTTTGAGATTGATTAGACATGTAAGAACTCAAAAAAGTTAGAATTAGATTTAGTCATATTAAACTAAAAGTTTAAAATTTTGATAGAAATTTAAAATAATTTAGGGATTTATTTAACCCAAAAATAAAAATTTTAAAGAAACTTCTATGAATCTTTGAAGACTCAAAATTATTTACATTTTATTTAATAATTTCAATGAAATTTTATTGTTTTTAGTTTCATCCTTTCTACAACATGTTAAATAGGAGTATCGTAGTCTTTTGCATATGATTAATGATGAAACATACATCGAGGCTATTTAAAGTTTGACCATTGAAGTGTACACGAGGTTTGAGGTGTTATATACTAAAAGAAAAAGGACCAAATACTTTTTTTTTTTTTTTGGGGGGGTGTTAAATACTAAAAGAATTGAGTTCATATTCATTGAGCTTCAAAAGCTCCTCTACAATATTCGACTATAAAGTTGAGAGGTTTCGGAGAGGTTTCTTGTGTTCAAAGTGTTGGAATATCTAAAGTTCAAAGGTATAAATCTCAATAGATTGAGGTGTAGGTGAGAACAATCTAAACGGACACTAAGGCAGCATCATTGTCCCTCTTGATGGCCTTTTGTGGGTTTGATATCCATTTGTTTCAGAGTTGAAAGGTCTTTTTATAATGCTTGGAAACGGACTCGGGTTCTAATGCTCTTTTTATAAGAAGAGCATCTTTGTGGGTTTTCTTGTGGAAGAATGGTGGACACATGGAGAAGGAAAACAAGATCACAGGGAAAAAGGCATTCAAAAACCAAATCCTCAAGATCATAGAACAATAATCAACTTATACAAGGGACCAAATAAAAATTTATTACTAACTCAATGTATGATGCTTCTAATTATGAAAAGCCACATAAACAGCAGACTTCAAGAATTAAGATCTAATTTTTTTAGACTAGCTTTTATGCTTTTAACAGTCCAAATTCAAAATTACAGTTCTTGCCAAACATTGAAATCACAAAATTGCAATTCTCCAAACTCTACTACGTGCCTTTGTTATCCATGCAACTATTAAAATCACAAACGAATTCTTGCTCAAACATTAAAATCATAACATCACGCAGTTCACACTGTACACGCACTTTATACTTACAAATGGTATTTATGTATCATTCTTTCAATGTTCAAATAACACAAGCACGCATTAGAAAAATAACCCATGCTCATCAATACTCATAACAATGGCCTATTATGAGAATTATCCAAGAAGAATTAAACTACCGTTCCATGTATAAAGGATTAAGCAAAATGTAATGCTAAATATCATGATTCATGGCATTAGAAACTTTACTTTTAGATTGCAGGTTCGAACATCATTTTCAATGCATTAGTTTAAAAATTGCCCAAAGGCAAAATAAAGTTGGGAGCTCTCTCCAAGCCTTTATTATCTTGGAAAACACTATTTTTCTTCTAGTTAAAGCCAACAAACATGAGATGCAGCCATGCAAGAGGGTGGAGTTGGGGCTCATTAGGGCCACTGCCTGTACCATGGAGGCGTAGAATGTGAATAGCACAAAAAAATTGACTTCCATGGTCATAAGAAACCAATACCTTTTTGGCTTCGCTTTGCTTGCCAAAAGAAGCAGAATCCCCATGTCTAAAAAGAGCAGCCTGCCTTGCCCAACTTCCAATAAAGCTCTCTTTAACATTTCATCACATGTATAATATTTACAAGTTAATTAAGCCAACAAGAAAGAGCAAAGGAAAATCAAGTTGGGTCTTTTCATGTGAATTTATTTGCTTTCTATCTCTATATATGCAATGTATGTCGACATTCAACACTCTACTTATAATTCTGAATATCTATAAACACAAGAATCTACTCATCAAACAGATGAACAAAAGAAAAACGTATTATTATTTTTTAGATAAAAAGCAACGGTAGAGTAAAAGGGATAAGGTGCTACCTTTACAATGTTAGCAAGCAACCTAGAGTCTCTGACAGAAAAGTCTTACATGATGTTGACCATGGCTTTTTTCCTCTCTTCCTTATTGCTTTCTTCTTTTAAAGAAATTCTTGTAACAGTAATAGCAATACTTCACCAACTGGGCTGCAACCAATTTCTTTCAGCCCAGCCTAGTCACGGCAGAAAAAGAAAACAAAAACAAGAAATAAGTCTTGAGATTCTCAACTAAAACTTATTTAATAATTAATGCACTTGTAAAGATATGAAACGAGTTTGAACATCATTTTACACCCAACAAAATGGCTTAAATATCATTTCTGAACTAATACCTATACCTCCTGCACCAGCCAACAATGAGGTTTTTGGTGGGATGCATCACTCCTGGTGTCAACAGTACAGCCTAAAGTTGAAATAAACTTTAAACAATGTTGTAACATATCTCTATAAGGTTTAAGACCACCAAATTCAATTCTGAAGTCCCAAGTCAAGGACCCACACTATATTTTTTTCCCCAGAAATGTAAGGAAGGGCACAATTGATAATCCTACCAAAATAAGTCAGGTCTAATTGGAGAAAAGAATAATAAAGAAACACCAGAGGAGAATAATCTGGTGCAGTTTTCAAGATAGAACGTGAGCCGATTCAGATTGTACAAGATAGCAGAAACGACAATTTTAAAACAAGCTAGAAATAAGAGAGATTCTCAACTAAAAGCAGGGTCCTCCAAACAAGGTTATCGATGTTCTAATTCTAATCGGATTCTATTTTTGGGATGGTACTCATTCGATTAATCAAATAAGATAAGTATTGTTTAATTCATTTCAACACTTTTCCCCAATATTGGATTCTCTAAAAAGCATAATCTGTTCAAGTGTTGAGACTCGATAACAACGAAAATTGTTCTTTAACTATGTCAGTGGGTGGGTAGCCAGAAACGACCTATCCACTCAAATCTGGAAGAGGGAGGTTAAAAAGTAAATATAATGGGAGGCTTTTAAGAAAATGGTGCACCAGACCAGAAGTTCATTCAAGTAAAAAACTATTACGGTATAGTTCTAGACATCATCGTCAGGACAGGGCCTAATAGATGTAAAACCACCCACCTCATAGTACTTTTTATTTTTGCCTTATTCGGCTATGCCACCCAAGTTCTGCCAATTTCTTAGCCCCACGCCCACATTCCCATGCTTCCACAAATAGGATGTAGATTCTTAAACCATGGGGAGAGGGAAGGAAGCATCGAGTCAAAGGCCCACATGCTGAACGGTGGATTCGACCCCATGTTCAGTAACCGCAGATTAATCATTTTAAACAACACCCTAGGATAAAAATTGGCTCGAATCATGAACTTCAGAACAGCAGAACCCAAATCCAGGCAAATTGAACAAAAATTGGCTCTCCTTTCTTTGAATCATTTTTTTATCTGCAAGGGATTTCTAGAAAGGGCTAACATTTCTCACGCATCCTGCCCAGGCAAATAGCGTTCAAAATCAACAAGATAAGATAAATCATATTTGTTAATGAACTATCAATAAAATACTGCAGACAGTAGAGAGATTCAGGAGAAATGAGGCGTATGGTCTCATAAATCAGGACTTGGAATCATCATTATTATATCACTATCTTCCCGTTGCAGAAGGATGGATAAAGAATATGGATATGTCAGAGGGGCCATATTTAAGCTTTATCATAAAAGGGAAAGAAGATGAATTATTAACTTACCTCACGCTGCTCGAGGCAACGATACTCCGGTGTAATCTTCTTCAATCATAAAATCAGTTCCTGCCATCCTCAAGAACAAAACAAGCATTTTAGTGGTGAAATATCGAAACATTATTACCTGAAAAGAAAATCATTGAAGAACTGTAGTGAGTTGCTTCTTCACCTTCGTTGCTTACAACTGCACCTTCAATTAAAGATCTAAACAGAAACCATTTGATCTTCCAGAGGGGTTTTTCTTATGGTGGGTGGGAAGAAAATGCCTTCACAAACTTAATAGTTCTTAACTATTTATCTTTCAAATTTTATTGATACCAGTAATATCCAAAACCCAAACCCTTACACAAAAACCAGAAGGGGATTTGAAGGTTAACACCATGATAGGTTGCGTATAAACTATTTGTTTTTACGGAAGTTAAAAACCCAAAAAGGATAAAAAGAAACAAAACCAAAATTTCATGGCTAGTCCTCAATAACCGATGCCAACCCAGTTACAATCTTAAGATTTCTAGCCCCAATCGATGGGCTTTTTGGCTTAAGCTCCGGAGGTTTCCATTCTTTTACAACGGCAGCCGTCTCAACCCCTCCCAACTCGTTAGGATCCACCGATTTCTCAGCGCCGGGACGGAGATCGATTTGGATGTTTCCAAGAGTATGCTTTGACTCAGGATCTGGACCCAAACTCGACAAAGATGACGCACGAATATGAGGAGAGAGCCACTTCGCCTTTACATACTCGGCTTTTCTCCATGGCGGAACAGGCATCCCCTTCTTTTTTAAGCTCTGTTTTGCAGCCTCTGATATGATCGATACGATCCTCTGAAGCCGACAAGGGTTGCCGACGAAGATATAAGGAATGAGTTGGAGGATCGCTTTGTAGCTTTTGGTTGACCGCGCAATTTCAAATTCTGATCGAAAGTCGATGTCTATCAATAAGCGTTCTCCGTCAATAATCACGTCAGTATATTCGTAATCCCCTGATGCATCAGAAAAATTGAACCCAATCAACAATAATCAGAAGCAATCGGAACTCAGTTGCCTAATGAAATTCAAATTTTGAGAGAAGAAAAGATGGTCCGGTTCGAGTATCCTAGATTTTCACCGGTATAACCAATTTATAAAAAAATTGGGTGAAAGGGGGAACTGGTGAGCAAACCGCTCAAATTCAAATTCAACAACCAAAAATTTCCCGTTAATAACAAGAAGAGTGATTAAGAAATATACCGGCCGGATGTGTGGGGGACTTTTCCCAGTGAGATTTGCAGATGGAAGCATCGTATCCAAGGGCCAACAATCCATTAGTAACAACCTGCCTTGCTAAGTTGTCTTTACGCTTGCACACCTTGTTCTTCTCTACGATTCTGGCTGTTTCCGCTAATAAATTCCTCTCATGAACATTCGTACAGGGGATTAAGCTCTGCTCGAGTATGAAAGCGTTATCATCAGAAGGATAGAAACAAGAAACATAAACCATATAGGGCAAAATAAAGAGACGAAAATCGATCAATTCCAAAAAAAAATATGAAAAATATGATCTGTTATACCTTCAGAAGTTCCCATGCCTCACCACCAGAGGAAAAATTGGAATCGCCAAAACCACTATGTGGATCCAATTCCTCTTCGGAGCTGTCCGTGTAGTTTCCATTGAAGCAGTTGCAGCGACTGCGGCCACACCGAGACGCGCTAAAATGCTTCTCATTGTTGTCCTCTATGAAATTCTGAACCATATTCGCCAAGCATAGAGAGCTAGGCTCCAACTCAGAAGAGACGCCGTCGGAGCTGTCCTTGTTAACATTCGATTCTTCAAAGTTAGCCTTCTCTGCCGAATTTCTCAGTACGTTCGAGAACTGTCTCTCAAATAGTCGCTTCAATTTCGACTTCACGACCGGCTTCACAAGCTCAAACCGAGCTGCTTCTTCGGCTGTATCAAACTCGATTGGCTGGATCTTCATTTGAAATGTAAGCTCTCTCGAACGAATTTCAGTACCTCTCCAGATAATCAGATCTCAACGACTGTTATATCCATCATTTTCCAAAATTGAAAGCTCGTATTCATTAATTCCTTCGGTTAATTCAGGATTAGAAAACGGACAAGTGTGTGTATAGAACAAGCAAAACAGTGTTACGCTAGCAAAATGAAAAATGTGAACTCGATAACCTACAGTTCGATTAGAATCTTCATCGACATCTCTGAAGCGCATCTCATATTAAATATACTGAAGATAAATTTGAGATAGCTAAAACTCAGAAACCTAATCCCTAATAATTATAATGAAGTGTTTTCCTAATCTTGTAAACACAATATGGAATAACTTCGAAACTCAGGCAAGTAAAGTCGCTTTCGCTTGGGGAAACCAGATACGGTCAGAGAGCACAGACCGTACCTGCAACGCAACCGACCATTCGAAACTCCATAATTCCCGGCAAGAAACAAACTTCCCGGCGAAGGGAAAGTGTAGAAATGGACTCTGTTTTGAGTACGGTCTCGGGTCTCTTCAGTCGACGATGGAAGAGAAATGGGGAGTCTTCGAGACATTTATTAAAAAGAGAAAGAGGATGTGCTGACTAGGATCGACACCCACGTAGGATTTCCAGCGTGGCAATAAAACGATATGATCACGCGAGGAGCACGTGTCGAGCACTCGACGAACTTGCTTCGTGGCTTCGCAGTTTGGCTCCACGTTATGTTTAGATGACGATAGTATTCGGGAAAAGAAAAGTATTATCCCGAAAATAGGCTTGAGTAGAATCGGAAATAACGAGTTTGCCACCAGCCTCAAACACGGAGGTGTTCACAACCGCCACATGATCGTGTGGCGTGGGCGAGGGGCAGCTAAAGAAAACCAACCAACCCACTCCGGTGAAATTCTCGTGTCAGTATGAAATGACGAGATTACCCTCGGTCTTTAAGAGAGTCAATGCTTAACTAAGTCGAAATTGCGACCAGAAACCTCGAGGGGGAAGAGGTTATCGTGTCATTTCGATACAGTTAAGGTTTTGGTGTGGATAAACATTTTATTTTATTTTGTGTTTAAATAATATTAAAAACGCAAATAATTTATTTATTTGTGTGAATTTTTGGGATTATTTAAGAAAATAACAACAAAATAGAGAAGCGCATGGTGGTGGGTCCCACCCCCATGGATAAGTGCTAGTGAAGCGGGTTCAGGGTATGGTAACTGGACAAAACGACGCCGTTGTCTTCTGTTCTCTTGTCCACACATCAATCAAACTCATATCATGTCATCCCACCGCTCTCATTGCATGTATCAACGCCACGTGTAATTTTCTCATTTTCTTAGCCATTCAATTAATTTAAATTTAAAATTAAAATAAATAAATAAATTTGATGGAAGGTGAGGAGTAGGAGTAATTTTTACAAATTTTCCTTGTTTAAATTAAAAAAAAAAAAAAAAAAAAAAAAAAAAAAAAAAAAAAAAA